ACTAGGTGCGGCGTCGCGTCGACACGAGCCTGCGGCGTGCCCCGGCTGCTATGCTTGTCCGCGGTGTAATGCGCCTGCCTTGTCCATCTCCATCTCGCGTCAGTTGCTGTACGTGGCGTGCTGCTCGTACTGTCACTGGCGCCACGGTGATGCTTGTGAGGAGCTGGAGGGACTCCTCGCCTCCCTGTCGGCTGTGACGGCGTCGAACTCGATGCCGCCCTGTCACCGTGCTGCCGCCGAGTGGCGTCGCTCGAGCGGTGGGGAGCGGGAAGCCCACGGGGAGGCGTCGTCGAGCCTCTCCCGCTCGGCAAACTCGGAGTTTACCGGAGCGGCCGTGGCGGTGGGCGGGGCAGCCCCAAGGCACGCCGCTGTGGCGCTGGAGGAGCTTCGAAACGCCATTTGTGAGCGAGCGTTGAAGAGTGCGGGCAGTCCGCCTGGGCGGGGCCGCTTCGCCGCGCCGTGCGAAACCGCCACGGCGTCGCCTGAAGCTGGGGACAGAAAGGCAGCAACTTTGCTTCAGGGCAACGCTGATGCCTTTGTACGGGGGACGCAGCTGGAGCAACATGGATCTTTTTTTCCGTGCACGCATTCGTTCTGGGCTAACCAAGGCGTGAACTCTGTGAAGCCTCCATATTTGCTGCTGCAAAGCACGCGCCTACCGCTGCTGGCTATGGTACTTCCTTCCCCTCAGGATGTGATGGATGTGAGCGTTGGGGCGCGTCGCTTGAATTCTCCAATTCTCTTTGTGGTAAATGGCGTGCGGCGGGATCCTTCTTTTGGAAGGGTTAAGCAGGTGCTTCATGCACATGGTGGCAGTGGGGGTCAACACTGTCAAGTCGCCACGGTGCAGTTGGCTGCTGCATTATACCTCCCTGTGCTTCAGCTTCAACGACGCCAACATGCGCTCGACGAATCGCGGAGGTGGTTCACGTGGCGCAATTTTGGTGAAGAGTCGCTGGGCATTTGTCGCTTCACAATGGAGAAGCAGGTGGGTGGTGTCTTTGCGTGCTCTCTGGTCATTGCGGCGGGTGCTGACGCCAGTGAGTGGGTGACCCTTCCTCCACGCCTCGGTAATTGTGCCTCGACGCGGGAGGCGTTTTCTGTAACTCTTCAGCGCATCGGCGAGGAAAGGGCAAACGTCATGGTTGGCTTCGTTGTGGAGGTGCTGACGATGCTGCCGCCATGGCGTGGCGAAGTAGCGAAGGAAGCAGCTGGCCCTGAGGTCTCCGCTTCGGTGGAAGGGGCGGAGGGAGCTTTCAGGAAGCGTCAGCATGTTGTGAGGTACGGTTTAACGATCACATGGTAGCGGCAACGAGATAAGGTGGCAGTAGGCTGTGACTTCGCATGTCAGGCACGTATCACCCTAACTCGCGCACCCCTCTAGTTTTTTGTACGCTGAGCCTTTGGAAGTTGTCGTGTCGTGTCCTTTTGTTGTTGTGCTGCGCATCGTTCCTTCCGCGTGTGGCGGTGTTCGTCGCCGTCATTCCTTGTGGTGGTAGTTACTTTTTATTCTTTTTTCGTTTTTGTGTGCGTGTGTGCTTTTTGCTCTTGGTCGGAGTGTTTCCGTTTGCGGCCGCGGAAGGGCGACTTCAGGAGCGATGCAGGGGGACGCCGTCTTCGTCATGTCCTCGAGTGAGAGCGATTGCGGGGCAACGGCGGCGGCCGCCTCGCGGGTGGAGGCGTGCCCCCAGCAATTCGCAGCCGCCGGCTCGTCTGCGGCGAGGTCCATGGATGCGGTGCTTTTCGGCGATGAGGGCCGCCGCCGTGCGGCGTCTCCAGGGCTGTGTGCGCAGGAAGCGGCGAGCGACACCGCCTCCTCCTGCAGCAGCGGCAGCAGCGAGAGGAGTGCGTTTTCGCACGAGGTCGTCGGGGAGGAGGCGAGACGGCTGCGCCTCGGCCCGGGTGTTGCGGACGCCATGGCGGCGGTGGAGCCGCACGAGCACCCCGCGAGCGCGGCGGTGTTGCGCGGAATGACGTGTGCCGATGTTCGTGCCGTGTTGGAGCCCTTTTTTCACCGCAGGGAGGCGGCGAGGATGCACTTTGATGCGGCGCGGGGGCGACTCACGGCAGCGACGAAGGCGAAGACGAGTAGGGGGGACAATACTCTGCTGGAACGCTGGAGCCGACTAGTGAATGTCTCCAACTGGGGTGACGGCAGCGCGTCAAGCGGCGACGTCTTGCTTCCGGAGGTGCTCGCTCCGCCAGCGGTGACGCTTCTTGGCGGAGGCGCCGGCGCCTCCGCCACTGCGGCGAGTGTGACCTCCGAGTTGCGGCAGCTGCGGCCGCATCAAGTAGAAGGCATTCGTTTCTTGTGGAGCATTCTTGTGGAGGGGCCTGTCGGGAGAGTCCCCGCCGTTGGCTGCATCCTTGCCCACACCATGGGACTTGGCAAGACCTGCCAGGTGGTCGTCTTCCTGCATCTCTTCCTCAATGAGCAACGACGGCGTCAGGGGCGGTCGCAGCGGGTGCTCATCGTGGTCCCAAAATCCACACGAGCGGGGTGGGAGAAGGAGTTCGCCACCTGGTCGCGTTACTTTCCCCTCGCCCAGCGCCTCACCCCCATCGCCATTGATGAACGCGAGAGTGCGCGGCGGCGGTCGGAGGTGTACGAAAGGTGGTGCAGCGAGGGTGGGGTGCTGCTTGTGGGGTACGAGATGCTGCTTGGCCTCACGAGGCTCTCGACGAGGGGAGCGAAACGAGATACGACGGGGCACCGGTGGACGGATCTGCTCGTATGCGATGAGGCTCATCGATTGAAGTCGACGCGTCTGCAGATCTCGGCCGCACTCCGTGGGCTACACCCGCTGCGTCGACTGCTTCTGACGGGTACGCCGCTGCAGAATCACCTGCAGGAGTACTGGGCCATGGTGGATTTCGCGCTTCACAAGTACTTTGAACGGCGCCGCTTTCAGGAGTTCTTCATTAACCCCATTGAGGCCTCCGTTGCGCAAGAGGCCAGCCCGAGGGAGGTTGCCATGGCCCGCATGAAGACATTCGCCCTGATACGCGAGCTGCGGCACTTTGTTCAGCGCGTGGATAGCACCCCACTACAGAAGGAGCTTCCACCCCTGCACGAGTACGTGCTTGTTGTTCCGCTCTCCGCGCTGCAGGCCCGCTTGTACGACCGCTTCCTGCAGCTGGTACGGCAGGAACGTTACAGGTTCAACTTTCTCCAGGCCGTAACTTACGCCAACAAGATCTCGGCCCACCCCCAGCTACTCTTTGCGACTGACCCCGCCTCACCGCTGCGAAGCGTTCTAGGCGGCCCGGAGAGCGACTCCGACGACGAAGACGAGGAAGGGGAGGAGGAGGGGAGTAGAGGGAGTCGTGGCCGGCGGCCCCCGGCATTCGCTGGAACGCCGGTGAGTCAAGTTTGTGCCGATCTTTTCCAGCCACCGGCAGACTACACCGCCGCCCCTGAGGACGGTGCCAAGCTGTACATCGCTGTGCGGATCATCAAGGCGGCGATGCTGCGGGGTGAAAAGTCGTTGTTTTTCAGCTTGTCGACGAAACTACTGAGCCTCTTTGAGGGAATCATTGCTGAGATGAACCGTCGATGGCAGCGGGATGGTTCCCTGTCGCGTCCAATCCGGTTTTGTCGCCTTGACGGGAGTAGCAGTGGGGCGGAGCGTGAGAGTACGCTGCGGTCCTTTCACTCGGCCTGCGGTGCCGACGTGCTGCTGCTTAGCATGAAGGCAGGCGGGGTGGGTATCACCATCACTGCCGCCACCCGTGTTATTCTCGCGGACGGCGGCTTCAACCCGGCGGATGACAGGCAGGCCATTGGACGCGCCTACCGCTACGGGCAGACACGCCCCGTCTTTGTGTATCGGCTCGTCTGCTACCATACCTTGGAGCACCGCATGTTTCGGCAAAAGGTGGCGAAGGAATGGCTCTTCCGCACCATTGTCGAGGAGGCCTCGCTGAAGCGTGACGCCCTGGCCGGGTTACGTCTGCAGTCCATGTTTCAGCTCCTTAGTCGTGCACGGGAGGAGGCAGACGAGGCGCCAACGTTGACCGATGAACAGCGGAGGTCGATGGCGCGGCTCGTGGCGGAGGACGCCGTGCTGGCCGACGTCGCCGCACACGTTCTCTACGCCGAGGCGCACGAGGTCTACCTGCAGCATGACGAGCTGGTGCAGTACGGCGAGGAGGAGCGGGAGTTCTACGAGGAGTACCAAAAGAAGGGCGTCTTCAACGTTGACAGTTACGTGGATGGTGCTGACGGCGGGTGGGAGTCGGAGCAGCGCAAGCGGCTGCGCGAGGAACAGCAGGAGACCGTGGAGGAGCGAACGAAAACGCTGACGGCGTTGGTGGACGACATCATCCGCGGCCGCGCGGAGGCAGACCCGCAGCTTCGCCACCTGCTGCGCATGATGGGCGTCACCGTGGATGCATCGGGGGCGGTCTCCGTCGTGAGTGCGCGGGAGGCGCAGCAGCCCCTCGCCGTGGACGCGGAGAGCGGGGGCGAGGGGCGCCCTCCTCGTCGCACAGACCCGCAGGCGGTCCGCACCGAGACGGTTCCGCGGCTACCGCCTGTAGTGTTGGACTCGGACGGGGCCGCCGACGACTCCGACGGTGAGTCTGTCCTCTTTGATGGGAAGCGGAGGAGTGACGACGTGCGCGCTGTTGTCGACCCGTCCAAGTACGAACCCTACAGGCCCGGCGGTACCGCCACGCACGCCATCTTTCTTGACGAGGACGAAGTATAGTCTGCTGCACGCGAACCCTCCAGCTACGGCATATTGGACTGTATAGGCTGTGTCAACGTTTACGCACACGCACACACTGCAGCTGTGCGGGTGGAGGCCGGCAGTTCCCACCTTGTCGACCCTGACGAAGCGGAGGGAAGAAGGGTGTGCGCGCATGACGAAGGAGCAAATCGGAAGAAGAAGGGGAAAAAAACGAGAGAGAGATAAATGGAGCGGGATGCAGCGCTCTTTCCGGCTCTTTCTCTCTTTCTTTGTGTGTGTGCGTTCAAGGCTTGGAGAGGCGCGAAGCGGAAGGCGGACCCGCACCTTTGCATTTGTGCACGTGTGCGTATAATTCTATACGAGTAACCTGAAAGCGCGCTGGGCAAACCCTCGCCTCCCCCCCTCTCTCGCAAGCACGCGCAGCGGCGCTGCTGCCGTATGCCGCTCTCGTTTCACGCGTGCCTGTGAGATGGATACGCGGGGGGGAGGGGGCACTTGTTGTTGTTGTTGTTGTTGTCCTTGACTCTCTTTTCTCTTTTTTTTTTCATCCTTCTGGTCGTTTTCTCGCTGGTGTGCCGCAGGGGTTGCGCAGCGCGCGTGGTGACTGCGGGCCATCGCTGCCACGTGAAGGGCGCGAGCGTTGCTGGAGCCGTTGGGCGGGTGGGGGAGGAGGGGGCGGGGTGAAAAGGTCGAGGCCCCCACACACACGGGAGGCCCGTTCAGGGAGGAAGCGTGAACGGGGGCAGCAGCGGAGCGGGTGCAAAGAGAAGACGAATAAAGCGAAAAAAAAAGCACGATATAAAACAAAACAATAGTAGTGCAGGTGGATGAGGCAGGCAGAGCACCTCAAGGCCTGCTCACCGCTCTCCCAGCACGATGGTGATAGTCTGCAGGAGTGTTTCTCGCTGGCTCCGCCGATGGTGGCCTGCCTGGTGCGCCACATCGACCGTGCAATGGCGGAGGTCGCCACCCCGCCTAGTATCGAGCGCTGCGTTGTGGAACTGCAGGCCTTTTTTCAGCCCTACGTCGACGCCAGCCGGGTGGTGGAACACTGTCTCCCCGGCAGCAAACTGCGGCTGCAGTTCGGCAAGGCGATGGATGTCAACGCCGGCGCCAGTTCCTCGCTGCTCAATGTGTACATTCTCGCCGTGGATCAGCCGTACTCGCGGCCCCGTCTGCTGGCGCACGTCGCGAAGCGGTGGCGCACGCTCTTAGAAGGCGTCGGTCAGGAAGGGCGGGCTTTGGTGATGCTGTACCACCAGGACCTCGTCGACGCGGCGAGCTTCAGCGCCCACCGGGCCTCGGGCCTCTTGGGCGACGCCGACGCGGCGAGGCAGCCGGACCAGCGGAAGGCCGAGGCCGCCGTGGCGGCGCTGGAGCCGTACTTTGAGGAGCTCAAGGCACTCCGGTTTGCGCCGCATCAGATGTGTGCGTACCTGCCGAACGAGGCCCCCATTCGTGTCCTGGAGCGGCTGCGGGCGGCCTTCGTGGAGCGGACCGCGCGGCTCACGGCGGCGTTTGATGGCTACTGGCGGCGTCAGCTGCACCCCGCACGCGTCGACAGCGAGGTGAGCAGCCAAAACAACAGCACCACGACGGCGACGGTGGAGGCGTGGAGCCTGCATGAGTGCTGGCGACGCGGGTACGACTTGGCGAGGCACCTGTTGCAGTTCGGGGTGGTCAACGAGGCCATGACGGTGTTTGCAAGAATGTTTAGCCTGTACTATTACCACTCCGAGGACTACGGCTTCGTGAAGAATAAAGCGACGCTCGCGCGCTTGGGAAAGCTCCCCAACGTCTTTGAACCGAGAACGTTTTCGGTTGGGCGCGACGGTTACCCGTCGGTGCTGCTGGACGATGCGGAGATGTTGGAGGGGCTCCTCTTCATCGTGGCATGTGAGATGTGGTGTGCGCTGCAGCTTGGGCTCCGCAACGCCGTCTTCGCGCGCTACAAGGAGTTCCTGCACGTGGCACGGGAGAAGTTTACGGAGGAGACCAACTCCAAAATCACGGACGCGTGGGAGCTCCTCTTCCTGCTCCGCTGCGCCCTCTCCGCGCTGCGGCTCAACTGGCACGCTGCGGGGCCGGCAGTTGGCGGACTTGACACGCCGGCGTCGCCCTGCCCGCGGACGGCCGCCGCGCACCACCGCCACAACTACCACCGGGAGGCGGAGGAGAAGGAGGCGGAGGAGGAGGGGGAGGTGCACCCGCCAAGGCCGCCCCGGCCCAGCGCGGAATGCTCCGACGTTTTATCCGTCTCGCTGATGAAAGAGTGGGGCACCACCGCAACCTCGCCCAACCTGGAGGCCAGCTTGGCGTCCTTCGTCGAGGAGGAGGCGAGGACTCAACCAGGCGCTGACAAAGGCGGAGGGGCGAGCGGCGGCAGGGCCGCCGCGACGGAGCGACTGCTGACGCTGTGCCACAGCCTTCAGCTGGACTGCGACGGTGAGTCGCGCTGGATGTGTCAACTGCTCGCCAAACTCGCCACGGTTGCGCTGGAGTACCTGACGGATCTTGCGGCCCTCGTTGGCTACAGTGAGGCGGGCGAGGTGGTCGCCCCGCTGCCGTCCACGTCGCCACCGCCGGAAGTCGTCGAATTTGAAATGCCGGAGATCGCCTCAGCCGCGGCCTTCGCGTCGCTTTACCGAACACTCACGGAGACGGCTGCGATCGCGCACTCCCTGCTGGGTGACTGCCACCTTGAGCACGCCTTGTACTACAGGTGCGCGCTCTCGCACCGTTTGGAGAATCCCGCCATCACGGCCGAGCTCTGCCGACGGCGGCTCATTCCATTCTGCCTGCATCACGGCTGGCTGCAGCTTCAGACCGCCGTGCACTGCCTGCTGGTGGAGTCAATGGATCGCGTCATGCAGCAGCGTGAGGCCCTCGGTCAGCCACCGCTCAACGACGAGGAGGTGGCGGGGTTGAAGGAGTCAATTTTGTACATCATTGGCGCCCTCCACGAGCGTGGGGCTTTGCTGGACGAAATTCAGGTCCTCTGTGGGAAGCAGCCCCCAGAAGAGTGGTGGCGCCGCCTGAAACAGGTCGATAGCAAGTGGAAGAACCGCGGCGAAGCGAAGGAGGAGCCGAGTTATAGTCTCTCGCTTCTATTGAGGAATCCCCGTCTCTTCTGCCTGTGCCCTGACCCTCTGCTGGAGGCGGCGACGCGAGAAGAAGATGAAACGATCTCCGCCTCGTCGATGACGGCAACGACGGGGGAGTTGGAGTCTGCGTCTGCATCCCCCAGCCTGCGAGGAAGCCTTGGCGAGACGGTTTTGGTGTACTTTAGTGCCATTTGTCTGGTGGACATTTTGGGGTGCGAGGCAGAGGAGGAACGGGAGGGCCCCCGCCCTGCCCCCACCGCGGTGCTTGCGTCAAAGAAGGACTGGACGAACTCCGAGGAGCCGATACATGTTCTGGACGTCACCAAGGTTGTCTCTTCCTCCTACAGCGCTGAGCAGGGACGGCTTCAGTGGGTGTGGGAGTTTCGGCCCTGCCGCGCCGGTGAGTATTACCTCCTCTGCATCACGCTGCGTGTGGGGCAGACAACGCTGGTCTACGTGCATGACCAATCAGCCACGTTGTCTGGTGGCAGTCTCACCGCCGACGCTGCGGCGGACGACATCTCTAGTAGTGTGGAGGCAACGCCGCGCTGCTTGCTCTCTGTGCCTGAGCCAGACATCGGCATCAAGCTGCTCGCGCTGCCGCCCGAGGAGCCCCACTGCTTTGGCGACACGCTCAACTTCTTTAAAGTTCATGTGGAGGTGGAGCGGCCGCTGGGTGCCCCGCGGGAAACGACGTCCCCAGGCCCAGGCTCCCTGGCCGCCGCCGCCGCCGCGGAGAGGGGCGAGGCGGTGGGCTGCAGGAGCTGCTCCTTAGAGATGTCCATCCCGGCGGGCGCATTTGCTGCCACAATGGCAACCGCGCTCCGCTCCTCGGGTCAGTGGGATTCGCGGCACGCTTTAGTGGCTGAGGCGACGCCGCCGCCTGACCCGAGTACGCTGGCGCTCATCTGCGTCAGTCGCCCCAGGCGGCACGCGTTGTCTCGCACCTCCGGCAGCGCCCTGCTGCCGAAGAGTTTGAGGGAGGGGGCGCTTCTGCACGATATGGCGGCCTCCCGCCGCACTGACGTCGATCACGTCGCCGACGCCGTGTTGAGCGGCCTCAGGTCGAACACGGCCCATCCCACGTTCTCTATCTCCGATGAAAGGACAGGCGCCGCAACCGCCGTACCCGTCAATGAACAATTTGTCATGTCGCACCTGCCCCCGCTGCTCTGCAGTCGTGGTGGGAAGATGAAGGCCGCGTGTGATGCGGCGGACGCGGCGGAACGTGTTGCGTCCATGCATCTGGAAGGCAGCATTCTGGCGACCCCGCGACAGCAGTGCTGTTTTAGCATCCGCCTTGACGAGAACGAGCAGCAAGGGGAAGCTGAAGGCGGAGACGCGAATCTCAGCAAGGTGTTGGAGGTGACCCGGCTTGAGTGCCAGCTGCCCGTGCTGCCCATCTTCATGTCTGGCACCGACGACTGCGCGCAGGTGTCGCTTTGCTGTCAGCGCAACATGGAGTCGTGCACCACAAGCCTGCTTCTGCCCTTTAGATTTGCACAAGCCTTTACAGTTGAATACGCCTTTAAATGCTTTCAAAGCCGCATTTATTGTCTTGTGCGGGTGGAGAACGTGCTTAGGACGACCTCGCTCTGGCTCCGTGGTGCGCTGCTTGAGCTGCTAGACACGGAACACTACTACAAACTCACTTGGGTCTCCTCTACGCACGAGCACCTCATGCGACGTGAGTGGAAACCACGTGAGACGCTGCATCTCTTCTTTGAGCTCACCCCTTCTACTGAGCCGTGCGCCCATGAGACGGAGGTGTGCCATCGTGTGCGGCTGCAATTAATTTACTCCAACTGGTCACTTGCGGCCGGGATGACGCCGCTGGAGGCGCACATTCTGCGCCCGCACTCGGGCACTTCGGCAGCTTCCTCTCACGCCACCAGCCCTGAGGGAACCCCGTCGGCTGCCGCGGCGTCTCTTGACGCGAGCGCCGGCGGAGTGACGGAAGTCCGCCAACCGTACGCAGGGATAGGCTCGGTGTGCAGCAGTGCCCTGGAGCGGTCCATTTGCTTTGCCAAGCAGCCACGGGTCTGCTTCAACTCTGTGCAGTTGGAGAAGTTGCAGGCCACCTGTAACACTTTCTATGCCCCTGTGGGGACATTTACGTCGAAGCACTCATGCTTGTTTAACGTCGTCATATTTCTGGATCCGCAGCAGTTGAAAGATTGCGTTGGGCGCCAGCAGGGGATGGCAGCCGCCCCAACCAGCGAAACACCCTCGTTGGCGGCGGACCTCATTGAGATCATCAGCGAGGATTCCTTTGAAAACGCCGCGGCCCCCGCCGGGGCCTCGCCAGTGGATCTTCCGGGCGGTTGCGTGTTTCCTGCGGGCGAGCCCATCCGCTTCTCGGTGTCGCTGGAGCCGCTTGCACACAACTGGCCAGAGACGTGTGACGGGGAGGAGGAGTTTTTGATCACCTTCAGGGCCGACCCCGCGGCGTGGCTGGTGACCGGAAAGCAGCGGGTCCGTCGCGTGCTCTCGATGATGGAGGACGCGACGCTGCACTTCACGGCCGTGCCCGCGCCGACGCCGGTGGCTTGTGGTGCCGCCGCCGAACGCGAGGCGAGCCGCGCGTCGCAGGGGCGAGACGACGACCAACCGGAGCCGCAGGCGCAGCCGCATCAGCGGCGGCGGCGGCAGCGGGTTTCGGTAGTTGCAACGCCCACCGTTGAGATTCGTTGGGCCTCGCGCGGCGGCGCGGCTGGAGGGGAGACGCTCTTGGAGGACACCGCCGTGGCGATTGATGTCGTGCAGTTCCGCACCTCGATGCGCATCCGGCACTGAGGAGGGTGGCAGTCGCAGCAGCGGCAGGAGGGCGCGCCAGCTCCGCCCTCAGCACCGGCGTCGGTGGACAGAGCGGAGCCCGCAAGAAGCAAGAAGAAAAGGACGAAAAATGTGGGGGGGTGGAAGACGCAACAGCAAAGACGAACGACTGCATGCTTGCTGCTGGCGGCTTTTTTGCGTGTGTTGTGTGTGTTGTGTGTTGTGTGAATGGGTACCATGAGTGCTTTGCCGTTGAGTTATTTTTGCTGTCGTTTTTTGTTCTTTTTTTTTTGCGTCTCACACGGTCGCAAAGGTGTTCGTTGACTACGCACACGCACACGCATTTGTAAATACATACCTGGCGGGTGGGTGGGCGGGTGTGTCGGAGGACATCCTTGTTTGCCCCTCCTTCTCTCACTAGCGTGGCTATGCTCCGCAGCTGCCTCGTGCTCCGCGTGACGGTGCACTCCCCGCGTGGGTTGCAGTTTCAGCTCAGCGCCGGCGACGCCGTTGCGCAGATTCAGCAGAAGTACGGCGGACGTTGGTTCGGCGCCGCGAAGGAGTTTTTGCACCTCCGCGCCCCCTCAGCTGAGTTTCTCCCCTTCTACTACTGCCAGGGAAGCGTTCGCGGCGTCTTCCGCGGCACGGTGAGCTACAACGACAGTGTGACCGACTCGAAGGGCCACCTGCAGAGCAGCTCCCGCCAAACGACGACGGCGCCGCAGCCGTTGAACACCGTCTTTGGTCCAAACCAGACGCAGATTTACGCCGGCTACAAGTACAACATCCGCCACGTCCACACTGCGCTGCGCAACGAGGCGAACCCGCTGCGCCTGCTCAAGATGAGTATGGTGGATGCCACAGACGCGACGATCAACCTCTTTGAGCAGTCCACGACGACTCTGAAGGTGTTTGTAGAGGAGGAGGTAAAGCGACAGGCGGAAGAGACGGCACGGGCGATGGTGCGCTCCTATCACCCCGGTGCTTATACGATAAGCGTGGATTTTAGCGAGCTGCATATTCGATTAGAGGAGGTCACTCCCGTCTTTGTTCCGTGCTACGTGGTGAAGGCCCGGTACGATGGGCAGGTGTACACCTTGTATGTGAGCGGCACCACCGGCACGGTGGGTGGTCCTTTTCTAATTAGCGCCCTGTACGTCGCCCGGGTCGCCACGCTGAGTGTGGTAGGACTCTTTCTGCTGCTGTGGCCCAACAAACTGACGGGGCTGGCACTGGGCTCGCTGCTGTCGGTGCCGGTGTACTACCTCGCCTTCTACGCCGCAAAGTTCTTTCCCTCACACCGTCGTGATTACCAGCGGTGGCAGCGGCAGAAACTTCGCATGCAGCACGAGGAAAAGGACCGTGGCGGCTTCCGCCCACACGTGTCGTCTAAACGCATCGAGGAGGAATACAGGCGGTCCTCGTACTGGGACACCCACGCGTTTCAGAACCGGCAAGACTCCCATGCCCCTGTGCGAGATCCACGCGGCTATTACGCGGCGCTGGGTCTCACAGGAACAGAGTCCGTGAATGAGATTCGCTCGGCGTACCGCAAACTCGTGCTCACAGAGCATCCCGATGCCGGTGGCTCGACAGAGCGCATGGCAAAGTTGAACCAGGCCTACCGCGTCTTGCGTGACCCAGCGCGGCGGGAAGCGTACGACAAGGGCAACTAGGAGTGCGTAGATGCGAGGCAATCCCGTCCTACGAAGGGGCTGTGATGGGTGCGATGGCCCTTGTTCGTTTTGTTTTCGTTTCTGTTGTCTTTCAAGGAAAGAGCGAGGAGGAGAGAGAACTGCCTCTTTGTGCTGGGCGCATTCGTTGGATGTTGTTGCATGTGAATCCGATGCTGCTGGGGGCGTTGCGTGTATTTGCCCACCGCGCCGGTCACGTGGTTGTACGTGCGTAAAGAGTACGCGGCTGCGTTCATCCCCCGCCCGCCTCGCTCCGCCGAGAGGTGAGGGGGCGTCTCTGCAGCGTTGCTTGAGCCTCGATCACACCTGCGCACAGCTGGCCTGCATCCCCGTCATTGCCGTCTCTTCTTCCTTCGCCCTCTCGCACACACGCACACGGGAGAGAGAGCGAGAGAGCGAATACTCCTCCTTTCTAGCGTTTGACTAAAAAATAAGCGAAAAGGGGGGAAAAAAAAGCACTAATCACTGGCAGCCAGTCTATTGTGTTTCTAAAAAGGTTTTATATTTGCGCCTCGAGTTTGCATTAGAAAAGAGTCCGTTTTTTTTTTTGTTCTTGTTCTTTTCTTGCTTCTGCACAGCAGCCTGCCGAAGGGCCAGGATGACTTGTCTCGACAAGGCAAGAAACTTGTGGGATGTCACACTCTCCGAGTGGAAGGTGAGCTGGGAGGATCTGCGTGACTCAAAGCTGTCCGGCCGTCTTCTCTTTGCCATTGCTTGTGTGTTGGTGGTGATCGTCGGCAACGTTGTCCTGCTCATCGCGGTGAACTTCTGGCTTTCCATCTTTCCCGTGGATAGCGCGGCCCCCAACTCCAGCCAGATTACTGTCCAGGTGATTGTATGCTGCCTCCTCTCCATGTGCTTTTGCCTGTTTGGGGTCGTGTTTCTTGCGGTGTACGGCCTCCGTCCACTGTGGCAGGTGTTGGCTGACACAAACCGCGTTCGTGGCCCGCTGTATCGTCTAGTGCTGTTGTTTGCCTCCGGCGCCACCAACGCCTTGTCGGGTGTGCTTTCCATCCACGCCATGTCCTACACCCCCGAGTTCGTGCAGGCGGTTCTGTTGAGCGTCATTCCCTTTTGTGCGCAGCTCTGGACCTACCTGCTGATCCCGGCGGAGCGGAAACGGCGCTATGGCTCCATCACCCTCATCGCCTCCTTCTTCATCTTCGTGGCGGGCGTCCTGCTGTCGTCCATGTCCTCCTTTTTGGACACCACACAGACGGGGCACGCGGCGCCGTGGGACTGGACTCTCATCTACCTTGCGAGCGCCGTGGTGTTCGGCCTTTGGTGCGTCATCCAGCGGCTCTACCTCGATGCCGTGACGTTCCGCAGCGTGGCGAGTGCGGCACCGGTGGGGCAGGGCAGCGCCGCGTTCGCGGCTGACGCGGAGGACGCCACCGCGCCAAGGAAGCCCTCCGGGGCGGGCGTGGAAACAACCGCAGTGGGAGTGGGGCGAGAGGGTCAGGTGAGTGCGACTTCCCCGCCCAACGGGGCAGCTGCGTCCTACCAGGACGAGTGTGAGGGCATGGCAGAAAGCTCGCTCACGGATCCGCTCTTGGTCGCCCACCGCGAGTGGGGGAAGCAGAACAAAGACGACCTTGCCGCCAAGGCAGTGCTGCTTCTGGTTGGTATGGCCTTCCAAACCCTTGTGTCGGTTGCCTGCGTGCCTCTGGACGCCATTCCCTGGTTCGGCAAGGCTTCCAACGCCACCGAGGCCTGGGCCGGGTTTGCTGCGTCCTGCAATTTCATTTTTGCAGAATGGAACAATATACGCTATGGAATGTTACACACGCTCGGTATGCTGATGAGCTTTGTGGGCTGCACGTACCTCAACGAGCGCTCCCCCACACTTGCGTCTGTGGTCCTGCAGCTCTCCGGCCCCCTGACGGGTCTGCTGCTCGTTATTGTGCCCAAGTGGGACGTCTACGGCGCGCACGGGGTTCTTGCGCATAAGCTCGGTGGTGTCATTATGCTCATCGTTGCCGGGATGATGTATCATGTGTGGGATCAGGCCTCCCTGAGGGAGCTGGTGAACAAGCACCAGGCGTAGCCGACGCGCACGAGAAGCATTACGGAGGAGTGGGAAGCGGTAGGAGAACCCCCTCTGCGGCTCTGCTGCCGGGGGCAGGTGCGCCGCAGCCAGCACTGTAAAGAAAGGGAGATCAAAAAAAAAAGCGGGCGTCCCCGCGTCGCGCAGGAACGAATTGACGAAGAGAGGAATATAAAAGTGCTTTTTTTAAGAATAAAAGAAAGGAAAAAAAAAACACTAAAATAGTGAGGAAGCACGAGGGTCCTTTTTAAAAAAGCTGCATTACTGATATTAAATAGATAACTATAGTCATGAGTGTATAATAGCACCCGCTGTGAGAGAACTGTTCGACCAGCTAGGGACAAGAGGGAAAAATAGGCGCGCGTTGTTTGGTTACAATGTTTCCTTCTTTGATTGTGTGTGTGTGTGTTTTTTTTTTCAGATATTGCGTCTTGGGGGGCCTGCGAGTGTTGTCGATGTTGTTTTTCTGCCAGCCCGCCCGCTACCCGCCGACGGCCCTCCACAAGGGAGCGGGGGGCACGATGGGTGTGGAGCCCCAAAGACTGCTGCTGCTTGGGGTCGTAGCAAGAGCCAAAGTTATCGCAATCGTGCGCCGTTCGAATTGGTTTTGGTTTTATAGTGTAGGTGCGGGTGTGTTGGAGAAAACTCACCGGAATTGAAACGATGGGCGCAGTGCGCTAGGCCGAGCGCCTGGCTCCGCTCCACTCTTTCACATTGCGGGCATCGAAGGGGCAAAGGGCCGCGGCAGGGCTCGTTTTGTAGTGGCTTTTGAACTGTATGAAAAGTGTTTTTTTTGTTCATTTTTTTTGTTTTTGCTTTTGTTGTTTTTCCGTCGGTTGCGAGGGGAATAGAGCGGAGGCAAGGCTGCGGGGCGTCGCGTTGGGAGTTCTTCGCCTGTGCTGCTTCTGCTTCATTTCTTTTCTACTCCAAAGCCCTTTGGCGTGATGACCCCAGCATACATACATACATGCATATATGTATGTGCGTATGTATCTTTAATACGGCCCTACGGGATCAGCGGGGACGCAGGAGGTGGTGTTTTGGTAATGATGAATATAACTGCATAAAGCTTGCGAGTGTGTAACTAACATTCGGACGGGATGCGTAAGTGTTGCAGAAATACATTTTGGTTTCGCGCTGTGTTTTTTCGCACTACTTTGTTGCCGTGGCTGCAGTGAAGAAGAGGGGACTCGTGTCCGCGAGAGACGCAAAAAACAAAAACAAAAAAACAAGTCCGCGTGGCGCCATGTGTGTGTGTGTGTGTGTGTGAGTGTGTGTGTGTGTGTGTGCATATTTTGCTCCTCTCTCTTTTTTCCTCTCACCCATTTGGGCTTGCCGCTTTTGCGCCCCCGCCCAATGGGTGCACACAACTGCATGTATGTGTAGGGGAACGCCAGATGCAGGGGGCGTTGGCGGCCGCGTGAAGCCTCCTTCGCCGCGCCAGCAAGCCAGGCTGCGGCGGGGGACGGCGGCACTGTGGGCGTGCACACTGCGATGGCCATGGCGGGTTCTCCCACTGACGCCACGGAGACGCAGGTGACGGGCAGCGACGAGGTGGAGTTGGCGTACGGTAGCGCCTTTTACCTCCAGGAGGAGTATTTGCAGCGGCTGCGTCGGCGGCGCCATCGCCCAGAGGCGGCGCCAGGGGAGGAGAGCGACAATGAGGGGGACGACGGCAAAGGGGCCAGCTCCACAGCGGCACCGTCGCAGCAGGCTGATCTCGCGGTGAACACGCGGCTTCAGCCGCTCTTTTTTCGTCTTGGAAATGACTTCCCGCCGACGCCGCCCCTGACGACGCCTGACGAGGGCGACGAGCCAGCGGCGGCGGACGGCGTCCTGAGCGCCCTCTCCGCGCAGGGAGGCAAGCCAGAGATCATCCTGCCCGTCGTCAGTCCCGCCTGTCGGCTGGCGCAGAGTGCCACGAAGGGCAGCGCGGCGCTGGCAGGCCTGCGGCGGCAGCAGGAGGTGGAGCGCGCCGCGCGGGAGGCGACGGACACAAGCCGGTCCGACCTCGCGCGCCTCCTGCGGAAGGGGGAGGCGGGGCAGCAGCAACTGGGCGCCGGTGGCTGCCCGTCGAAGGCGGCGCTGGCGGCGGAGGAAGTGACGGAGGATGAGACGGAGACGCTGCGGCGGAAGGTCCGCAAGGAGACGGCGAGGCTGGAGCGCATGATGGAAACCCCCCCTCACGATGCGGCGGTTGCGGCAGTTGCCACCGCCGTGGATAAGGATGAGAGGGAGGAACGTGCTCGACAGCATGAATTGGTGTTGCGGAGGCGGCAGGAGAAGTTGGAGCGTGTGCAGGAGGCCAGGGAACGTTTGGCGGAGGAGAGCAGTCACGTTGAGGATTACGGAGCTAAGCGGCTGGCGCTGTTGACGATGCAACGCCAGCTGCCCATTTACCGCTGCAAGGAGGAGCTGCTTCGCTGCATCGGCGAGAACCCTGTATCGATCGTCATTGGTGAGACAGGCAGCGGGAAGACGACGCAGCTTGTACAGTACCTGCACCAACGCGGGTACGCCAGGAATGGCGGGATTATCGGCTGCACGCAGCCCAGGCGTCTGGCCGCCATTGGGGTGCGCGCCGCGTGAGTGCGGAGATGGGCTGC